TGTGAAGGTTCCTTAAACCTTTAAAAGGTTCTTCACACCCACAAATATTCTTTTTTTCGACATGGTTCTTTAGGAAAAAATGGTTCTTCTATGGCACCGCACCAAAGAATCCTTTTTGGCACCTTCATTTTTAAGAGTGAAGAGGAATGGTTCCCTAAAAAAACTTTAATTTGATAGTTCTGTAGAGAACCGTCTTTGTAAAGGAGATTTATGACTGTTAAGAATGTTTTTACAGTTTGAAGGACCATTTTACAGTCCATGTACTGTAAAAAATTCTAGGAAGAACATGTTCATACATCTCTTTTTTCAGAGATGGTTCTTTAGGGTACCAGAAGTGGTTCTCCTATGGCATTTTTTAAGGTGGAGTTTCAAGGTAGGGGGTTTCTAAAAGTGCCTGAGGAGTGTAGAATATAAGGAAATGTCTTAGTGTCATGGTATTTGACAGAAAGCCCAGTAATTGCATGGGTTTGTTTGTCTGGCTGGTCCCTCTCTTTAGTTGTTGCTGCCAGCTAAAGTAAGCCATGTGGAACCAAAGCGTGCACCACATCATACACACCAGCTTTAGCCCACTAGTAAAACTCCTCAGGTTTTCCCACTGGGCCTTGGCCCACCAAGTTAGGGTTGGGTGATGGAGTCAAGCATCCAGCCATCTGTTCTGGGCTACAGCCAGCTGGCCGGCTGCTAAAACCCAACGCAGGCCAGATGTATGGCTCTTTCAAGCTCGGCCCCCAGCCGAAATGTGAATTCTGAAGATAAAGGAGAAAAGGGAGGTGGAGGTTTAAGAAAACGTAGCTATAAACAACAATGACAAAAAAGTAGCATTACCACTACTGGAACATTCATAATCCTGTTTCATGGAGACAAACAAACTGTCCTTGAAAATATGTCCTTAGGCAAGCAGACCATCTTCATCCTCTGCAGGATTTTTTCATCATTCTGTAAACTTGGCCCATTCAACAAGGGAATCTCCTCTCATGCTCTGGCCATAAGGATGTACCAGAGACACGAGTAGGAATTTTGTATTTCTTGAAAATGCCATGCATGGGCCTCACCTCATTCGCCTGAGCAGAACCTGCCAGAAAATATGCCAAAATAACCCCACCCTTTTTCATAGCAGCAGCAGCAGCAGCAGCGGACTGTGAACAGGAATATAAGCAACTGCATATCAGTATACTACAGAGGTGTCAAACTCAACCACTAAAAGGGCCATATTAAAAATCTCAACAAATCTGTGGGTCAGAGAGCGTTTATATTTAAATATGCCAAAACACCAACAGCAAAACACAGCTGCTTGTAGGAAACCTTCAAATGTAACATGTGATTACTTGATATAATGGCTACATCTCTTTAAATGTCCCCAGGACGTAGGTCTTTTAAACCTACCTGTGTGCTTGATCTACATACCTGACATCTTTTCTTTGCTGCAAGTTCATCAATTCTTGGGATCAGTTTCTGAGCTGTTGAGTGCTTATAGTGTTCATAGTGTTAATGTTGGTTGAACTGCAGCTGAAACGCAGGTAGTGGTGATATCATGTGTGCAATTGGGTGGACAACTGCTGTCCCATAGAGTGTTGTTGGGGGGAGGGTATCAGTGCAAATTACGTTGCAGTGCATGCTGGGGATTGTAGTGCAGCTCATTGTGAAATGGGCTAATATTAACAGAAATCAAAATAATTTCGAGGGCTGGACTGGATTGTGCCACAGGCCTGATCTGGCTCACAGGCCTTGTGTTTGACACATGAGATGTACTATAATCAACTAGCCGAAACTGTAGTGTTTGTTGCCTCTCAAAAAGGGTTGTGTCGTGGCTGTTGAAGCAGAACACTATAATGAATTGTTTTTGACTAAAATGGGGCAGACATTATTGAAAGATACATATTCATTTATCCAGCTATAGATCATGCAGTTCAGTTGAGGAATGATGGAGATCTGATTTTATGTACTACACTTAGGCCAATAGCTAGAAGGGGAGGCTAGAGAGTGTTCTTAGCATGCATAGTGGAACATGGGACCACTTTCTGCTTTGTCTTCACTTTCAAGTTGAACTTTTAGCTCTCGGTGGTCAAGACTTAACGTGACATCATAACACACACAGCTGATTTTATGAGGGAAACACTTAAAACTGGGAGACATTGTGTTCCTTGATTTTGCTGTCCTTGTATTTCTTTTTTTCTGCTATTTTTGAAAGCTTGACTTCTTCATTTGAATGAATTAAAAACAAATACTGTCATAGTCTAGCGGTTCTTCTTACAGACTATGACTGATGTTTACACGGAGGCACTGGAGCGGTGACAGAATGCAGGATGTGTTGCTGTTGGCACCGTATCTTAAACTAGTCTTTAGCTGTTATTTAATGAATGAAGTGTTTCAATTAAGAAGTCGCATGCAGAAGGAAACAAAGACTTTGTAGGTCCTTGTCTCATTTGGGCCCTGGAAATTGTGTACACCCCATGATGCTGCTGGGATATACACAGTATGTCCAAAAGTATCTGGACACTACTTGTATATGCTCCAAAGAAAAGTACTAATAGAATGGGACAATCTAGAGTGACTGCAGGTCCCCATGCCCAATACCCCCCAGAATTGGGCTGTGGAGCAGTTTAACTGCGTTCGCTGGAGTGATGGTGCTCCATCCAGTACCTATGGGATGAGTTAGTGATGTTTGTCATCCAGATCTAATCATCCAACATCAGTACTTGACCTCGTTCGTGCTCTTGTGGCGCTCAGATCCTCACAGAAATGTTCCAGTCTAGAGTCGGTCGATTAGGCCTAGTTCTTTCAATGGACAGTGCCCATTTAAAATGCTGTCTAGTCCAGGACTAGGCCTAATCGTTGTTGAGAAAACTGACCCCAGGTGTTGGGGAGTAGCCAATGGGTGGCCACCATAGTGTGAAGCTTGGCCACCCGTCTGGCCACCCCAGTTAAACAAAGTGAGACAGTCAGCCATCAATAAAGCAGTCACCGGAGAACGGCTGTCTTACCTTCCCTGTGTGAACGTTTACGCTTACAGTGAAAATCTGCCATCAGGGCAGTTCCCAGTAGCTGTAAGGAGTCTGATGATGCTGCACTCAATAATCAGTAGAGCTTGATGTGATAAACTACTTTGCTGAGCAGACAGGCGAGAATGCTGGTCGAAAACGGTAATGCTGGTCTTGTTCATTTTGCTTAATGAGGCAGCAAACATTGTTTTTTTCTACATTAGGGAGACAGTTAAGAGCACCTAAACATCACTGAGTGTGTTTACATGCACTCAATAATTCGATAATCGGTTTTCTGCTGAATCTGATTATTCAAATGGTCATGTAAACAGAATACTCTGATTTCTTAGATTGGAGTAAGGTCTGGAAATCTGATTAAGAAATCTGATAAAGAGAGCTGGATTTTAGCTCAGTAATCAGATTTCTCAGTGCATGTAGACTCTTACTCAGATTTCTTTCGGATTTCTCTGCACATGTGTGGAACAGACTGCAGTACTGAAAATAAGCAAACAGCATTGCGCCAAGACGGCAGCAAAACACTTTTGGAGCGACGCTGAAACCAGATACAAGGATTTAAATATTCTTCATCTTCTAGATGATGTATGTTTATATTTTCAGGTAAAGTTTGTTTTACGTTACGTTTACGTCACGTCTTCTTCTGTGAGTTTATTGGCGGTTGCAAAGCAGAAATCTCATTACTGCCCGACTCATGTAGACCCGGAGTTTCCCCATTATCTGATTACTCAAGTGCATGTAAATGCATCGATCTGATTACTGACAAAATCTGATTTTCTGCAGTTATCAGATTAGTAAATGCACTCAATGTAGCACAATACTCTGTGTGGATCACATGACTGAAATTTTTAACCAATATAACAGCCACTGTTCAGCAGCAGAAATGATACAAGAAATGAAATGAACCTTAACAAAAGAACAGGCAGAAAAATCACTCTCTGCTTTTCCAGAGTAAAAACTACACCTAAAAATGTGGTTAACTTTATCATTAGACTCATAAGTAACCTGTAGTGAGGACAACCTAAATGAGTAACATTTATGACCTAAACTATTAATGTTAATGCACTGAAAATGCACCCTTGCTCTAGTGTAAAGCCCTCCCAGAAGAGTAGAGGCTCTTCTGCTGTGTGGCAATACCCTTATATGCACACCAACCAGCCACTTCATTAAATATACCTCGTTTCTACACTCATTGTCCATTTTATCAGCTCCACTTACTATACAGGTGCACTTTGTAGTTCTACAGTTACAGACTGTAGTCCATCTGTTTCTCTGATACTTTGTTATCCCCCTTTTACCCTGTTCTTCAGTGGTCAGAACCCCCATGGACCCTCACAGAGCAGGTACTATTTGGGTGGTGGATCATTCTCAGCACTGCAGTAACACTGACGTGGTGGTGGTGTGTTAGTGTGTGTTGTGCTGGTCTGAGTGGATCAGACACAGCAGTGCTGCTGCAGTGTGTCCACTCACTGTCCACTCTATTAGACACTTCTACTTTGCTGGTCCACCTTATAGATGTAAAGTCAGAGACAGTAGCTCATCTGTTGCTGCACAGTTTGTGTTGGTCAACCTCTAGTCCTTCATCAGTGGTCACAGGACACTGCCCACAGGACGCTGTTGGCTGGATATTTTTGGTTGGTGGACTATTCTCAGTCCAGCAGTGACACTGAGGTGTTTAAACACTCCAGCAGCACTGCTGTGTCTGATCCACTCAGACCAGTGCAACACACACTAACACACCACCACCACATCAGTGTTACTGCAGTGCTGAGAATGATCCACCACCCAAATAGTACCTGCTCTGTGAGGGTCCATGGGGGTCCTGACCACTGAAGAACAGGGTAAAAGGGGGCTAACAAAGTATCAGAGAAACAGATGGACTACAGTCTGTAACTGTAGAAAGTGGAGCTGATAAAATGCACCATGAGCGTAGATACAAGGAGATGTACAGAATAAAGTGTATGTTTGGGGGTGTGTGTGTGTGTGTGTGTGTGTGTGTGTGTGTGTGTGCACATAGACCATAGAGGTAACTTTGAAAGCATAAATAACAACACAGGAGCATTTTTTGTCTATTATGAACTTTCTTTAGTTGGTGCAACGGATTCATGTAACTCACTCCAAACTCCAAAGTTTATTGATTCATTTCCAGATTTGAACATGACAGTATTATCAGTTATAAACAACCTGGGTGTATGAAAAGCCTCAACACTGTACAAGATCAATATCAGTCACCCACAGCTCACCCCTCGCTCACACTGTACTTAGTCAATAAGGTTATCGCAGCTGTATCACTTTATAAAGTTCCCAACACCAAATGGAAGCAGGTTTTTGATCCAGAACTTTATTTTTCACTCTTTTGCCTAATTTTATCACAGTTGCTTCTCAGTGTAAAAGGTCTCGACCCAGGAGGCCAGCACATCTCCCTTATACACTGAAACCTGCACTGCATCTTTTCAAATGACCAGCTATTCTGCATTGTTGTGTCCATGTAGATGCTTAATTAGACATGTTATACCACTGCCAACTGGCCAGTTGTGCTCTAAAGGACGAATGGGCCCAGACTGTGCATGGCACAACTGGGATTCAAACCTGAATCTAATGCTTAGGGTTTCCTTCTTGCTTGTAATTGTTGGACACAACATGGAGTACCACAGTTATTGAAATGGGCTCACTTCCCAAACAGATTAGGCCTCCTTCCTTTCTGGATTACATTGTGATTCCCCAACGACGCGTAGGACTTCAGCGGCTAATCTGTGTCTGGGAAACTGGCCTATAGAGACATTTAGAGTGGGAAAATTTGGCACCTGATGATTACAAGATGAGTAGTGCTGGCACCATTTTTTTTCTCTCTGCCTTTGTAATGTAAGGTAATATAGTACCACTGTCATAACAAAACCTTGTATCTCTGAAATGGTAACTTTATAGGAGAGGTTAAGGTAACATTAGAATCTTCACATTAATGTAGTGTAACAATGGTATCTAAGTAATTTTGTATCATTTCTCTTGGTTATTTACACAGATATTATTTGAATCACTCTACTGGTGCCTGTAACATTTTGCTTTAAAGCATATTAACAACTCTTCAGTGAGAGCTATTCAGGCTGCAGCCTCCACATGATGACAGGGTTAGTTTTAACATGTTACCTCCTGTTATCTCCCAAAGAATACAGTGAAAGTCCATATCCTCAAATATGAATCCAAAATGGTTCATTTTTTTTTTTACTTTTTATTCATAGACTTATCAACAGTTTACTATAGATGTCATCTGAATAAAATTTTATCACTGATTTTTGATCAATTTAAATTTGCTATGTTCGGCACACCTTCTGTTCACTAATCATATTTATTTTAAGACGTACTTTTATGTATTTAGATTGGAAAGTCTGTTCAGTTTATACAGCATGGAACTGTATTGGATTAACTGTGTTTGCATTGACTTGCCGGACTTTTCAGAGACTAGCCCCTCAATTTGTTGCAGTTAATCTCAACTGCAAAACACTTTTGGAGCGACGCTGAAACCAAATGCTCGACGATTTATCTTGCTCAAGTATTTGCTAAGAAACTGAAGATGTTTAGGTTATGCCTCACCCTCCCTTACAAAGTTTCATTATAACAGTGATGTGTTATGGTTTTCTTTATGACAAGTTTTGCCTTTACCCTTTTGATAAACACACACCCAAGTATTTTTTATAGTATTTCTATTTTTGGATAGAAGCTTTATTCTAATCATACAATCAGAAACACTAATATGAGCAGAACTGCTCTTGGTTCCACGGACATTCGTGTAGCTCGCTTGAGTCGTTATTTTTCCATTCAGAGACATTCAATACCACCTTATCACCAACCAACTGAGCTGTAACAATACAATCATTACAAACAGTCATACATCACCATACACTGAAATATCCAGAGTGAAACAGAGTATACAGGACTTCGAAAGGATCTCGAAAATAACTTTGCGGTTGGTTTCTTCTCGTTCGCCTCGATGGCCTTTCACAATGAAAACGACAACGTTCAGCAAACTTATGACTCTCGTTCAGGGAGCTTAATGGAGTCATGTATATTTCATGTGCTTTGGGAGAATGGAATATAAAGAACCATATTATCTGATTGGCAACCACATAAATGGATAGTCAAACAACCAAGGCCATTTGGATAACAGTGAGTGTTCGGATGTTGGGTAGTGTTATGCTAAATGTTAGAATCTTTCACAGTCAGAACGGCACCGTAATGCTAATAATGAATTAGGCCACAGACTGTATATTTCTTGTGCTTAACTTCAGCTCTCTTCTTCACTCAAGCAGAAGAGTGGAGCAGATTCACACATGAAACCAGAAATTGGTCCAGAAACCAGGTCCAGGAGATAGTTGACAAATCAAGCTAGCCGTCAATGAAATGTTTCAATAGTTGTACAGCTTAAGGCTTGGGTACACTCCACGACTTTTAAAGTCTGAACAGATTATAAAAAGATTTTTTGCAGCAGGTAAACGTATTTAAGTGAGGGTCATTGATTTAAAAATGTAATTAGGGTGGTATAGTTTTAAATGTACATAAACTCGATTGTGCTTGTGCCCTAAACTCAGCTCATCAAAAAGCTTCGCTCCACATGTGAGCGACTTTTCACCATTTTTTTTTGTTTACTTGGTGTATTTTCTTATTTTGCACTCTGTTTTTATTGGCTCTTGCAGGAGTCCATTCAGATTGAGTCATTGACCAGTTTACACTACTAGATAACTCTCAGAGTTGGGTAGAAAAAAATCAAATGTTAAACTCTGATTGGTCTTGAAACGCGAGGTCAAAAATCTGTCTGTGGCCCTCACACCCTACTCGATTCTCTCTCCAACTGTCTACTTCGACTGACCCAAAAAGCTGCAGACTAGAGCCAACTAGCACAGACTTGCCAGACTGAGAGTCGGGGCTTAAATCGGGGTAAAAGTCGTGTAGTGTAACCCCGGCTTTAAACTGACACAAGATGAGGGTTGGTCTGTGACAGTGCAATATGATTCCTCCTGAAAAACAAAGTAAGCCATGACCATTTTTACGTTTGTGGATTTTTTTTGTCTATAAAGTCTGCATTTAGCATTTGAGCATCCAAGCCATTTTGGATTGACAGCAATGTAGAAAAATGAGCATGTGCTGGGATTTGATGATATTTTCAATACTATCTTGATGGCTTGTTATTCATTACGCCGCTGTCAGCGTTCAGATTAGCATGCTAGCACTATTTTATCTTGTGAATTATGCACAAACTGGCAGATGGATAAGTAGTGTATTTTCATAGGATTAACATAAGAACATTAAGAAAAAAAGAAAAATCCATCTGTGCAGAGCGAAAGTAACAATCAGCGAGACGTTTTAGCATCATGTTTTTTTTTTTCTATTGCGTTCTGAGCTTTTCTGGAAGCCTTTTCAAAGCTGTGCTCTTCGCAGGTGGTTTGTGCTGGTATTTGACGGCATTAAGAAGCAATCACAATTTATTTTTATCCAGGAAATGCAGAGAAAGCACTGAAGAGCACTTAGAATGTTTGCTGAGACATACCTCCCTTCCGTCTAATGGAGATTAAGAGTGGGCAAAAGAAACAAGGGCAGAGCCTGCTGAGTGAACACCGCCAAACCCCTTCCAACTCAGGAACTGCCAAACACGGGAGATGAGCACATCTGCACAAGGTTTGTTTTTGATGTTGGAGAGCATCGTCCATTAAAAAACAGGAAAGACTTGAACCGCCATTGTACCGTTCTGCATGTGTGTTCATTAGTGTAAAAATCTCATGTAACAACACAAATGCCATTATTTCACATACATTCCAGTTACCACTTCGGACATTTATTTCAGCCAAGTTATACGACATCTTTAAGTCTTTAGGTTCTAGATGTAAGTCGACGGATCTTTTCATTAAATGTAATACTGAAGAACGTCTTTTAAAAGGCAAAATAAGAAGGTAACCATTACAAAGATATTATTTCAACATGTACATTTCAAAAGAATATTTACAGTTGATGATGATCATTATACACACCTTAGAAACAATACTATCTGAGCCAATTTTTTTTGGACTTTTAAGCCTATGTACAAAAAAAACCCAGGAGGGACAGCTCGCTCTTCCTCTTCACGTCCTGATCAGCAACCGGTGACAGTTTCCGAGGGTTTTTCCTCTGCGTAACGCCCCATGAATGTTAATGTCTAGGCTTGGCAAGGCATTTCTGTCCTCTGCTTTGCTGGATTAGTCCAAAGTTTGGGTGAATAGGTGTTGGAAAGGGACGTCATCATATGAAGTACTCTTTTTGGGTATCATTGATTATGCTCTGCGACTGGGGGTCAGTGTTGAAGGGTGTTTCGGGACTGTCCTCTGGTTTAGTTCCTTTAGGCTCCTGTGTTTGACAAGTCTCTTTTCGTCTGTAGAGGAATCTTGCCATTACAGCCAGAGCGGCCAGGATCACGAATATCACGACTGCGATTACGCCTGGAAATATGGAACATGACGTTCAAAATTAGTCACCACTTTATGCAACCGTGGAGAAGAGGCCAAAGAACAACATAACAGCAGTATGTACATGAATACTGCTGCTCTAGTTCCTAAAGCTAAACCCATTTCAAAAGCTTTCTTATTAAAAACCATAAAACATACCCTCACTTCAGTTGATATTCCTTCTTTTCATGATAGCACTGTGACATTGCTTGTGAAGGTGCTATGACAGCGTCATCACTTTTGCATCCGTAATCTATGCGATCAACGCGAGGAGAGGCCACCTGATATCTTTACTCCTTTTCAAGTCAGTTTAAATAACCTCAGTTTTCAAACACAGTGGAGGAAGGCAGTTGAGTGAAGCATTAATCTTATGCTTTAACCTTATACGCTAACATGGATAACAAAAATAATGCTTGGAGCAGTTAAGTGTTTCATTTGACTCACCAATTAGGGAAATTAGCAGCACTGTGACTTTGCTCTGAAGATGCTGTGACAGCATCATCACTTATTCCATTCATAATCTATGTGATCAGTGGAAGAGGAGACTTGCCACTTAAACTCATTCTTAGGTCAGTGTAAATAATCTCAGTTGTAAAATAGTTGAATGAAGCATTTAGCTAATACTTTAACCTTAAATGCTGACATAGTTTCCAAAAAAATTGGGATATTCTCATTTGACTCACCTATTTGCAAAATTAGTGCTTTTAGATGCTTTTACTTTTAAGTCAAAACTGACATTTTCCTATATTTTGCACTGAATTTAGAGTGAGTTTAAAGAAATCAAGTAATACTGCTGCTGATAAATTCCTCTTGACGTTTTTATCGACTTCCTAAAAAGTACATTTATCTGCTAGTAAAGCTGAGCAAAATAATTGATACTGCTATTGAACATTTTCACACTCAAATAAAACAGCGGAATGAAGCATTAACCCTAAATCCTAACATGGATAAAAGTGATGGCTGGACTAATTAGCATTTTCCCATTTGAATCACCTATTAACAAAATTTTTGCTTTTTGAATGAAGGATGATTTCAGTTCTAGTTGAAAACTGACATTTTCATATTTTGCACTGAATTAAGAGAGTTTTTAAATAATCAAGTAAACTGCATTTCCTGCTGTTGATAAATTAGCAGCTGATTTAGTGCAATTACTAAAACTAGCATGTTAGCGGTTTGTAAAGAGTTGTAGCACAGGGTTCAAGAAAGTCAGTTTCATTTAAATTTAAAATGTATATCAGTGAATAAAACTGAACAAAGTAACTGAAAACTGACACAATGGGGTAAAAGAGTTGCTAAAGCTTTACTTTAAAAAGCTAATACTTCAACCTTAAATGTTGACATGGTAACAAAAAACAGGTGGTTGCTCAAGTTAGCATTATCTCATTATTACTTTGTGATGAAACATGCTTTTAATTCTAGCTGACATTTTCATATATTTTGCACTGAATCTGAGTGAGTTTAAAGATACGAGGAGAGCTGCTTTTTCTGTCCTGCTGTTAACACTTCTAACAGCTTTGGTGCTTAAATTAGCGAGTTAGCGGAGTGTTAACAGTTTTAGCACAGTCTTCAGGCAGGTCAGAATGATTTAGATGTATATTCTCATTAGGCTTTGTAGTGACAGTAAAAATGGACATCGATCAGCTAATAAAACTGAACAAAGCAGTTTAAATTGCTATTAGGTTTTCATACACAATGGAGTAAAAGAGTTGCCTTAAGCTTTCAGCTAATACTTTAACCTTAAATGCTAAGAAAACAAAAAGATGGTTGTCCCAGGTAGCATTATCTTATTTGAGTCACTTATTAGCAAAATTAGCGCTTTTGAGATGAAGCATGTTTTTAGCACATATTTTGCACTGTATTAAGTATGAGTTAAAAAAAATCAAGTAAACTGCTTTTTTCTGTCCTGCTGTTAACAGCTGCTAACTGCTTTGGTGCAGAGTTACTTAGATTAACAAGTTAGCAGTGGCAGCAGTTCATTCAGACTCATTTAGATTCAGATTTTCATTAAGGTTTTGTAGTGACTTAATAAGATGTACATCTATCAGCGAATGAAACTGAACAAAGTAACTGATATTGATGTCAAACGTTTTACACACAATAGGGTAGAAGAGTTGCTAAAGCTTTAAGCTAATACTATAACCTTAAATGCTGACGTAGATAACGAATACAGATGGTTGCTCCACTTAGCATTGTCTCATTTAACTCATCTGTTAGCAAAATTAGCACTTTTAGATGAAGCAGGGTTTTAATTCTTGGTAAAAACTGACATTTTCTTATGTTTTGTTCTGAATTAGGAAAGAGTTTAAAGATATGAGGAGAACTGCGTTTTTCTCTTGATCACTGCTAACCGCTTTGGTGCTTAAATTAGCCCGTTAGCGATGTGTACACAGTTTTAGCACAGTCTTCAGGAAGGTCAGATTAATACAAATTCATATTCTCAGTAAGGTTTGGCAGTGACCTGATTAAAATGTACATCTATCAGCTAGTAAAACTGAGCAAAGTAACTGATACTGCTGTCAAAGGTTTGCGACCTAGTCTATCCCATCACACATACACACAGTCTCGTAGCTTAGCACTGGGACACAGCCTAACTTACCCTGGAGAGCTTTTACCTACTGTCAGAGGAAGACATTTGCAAAATATTCCTCTCCTTTGTATTCAGCTAAGCATGGTCCATTTAATTATGATGGCTAAAAGAAATGTCTAATTGAAGCGCCCGAATACATCTCAACTCAATTTAATGCCACATTACTGTGGTTCTAAAAAGGACAAAGTATTTTGAAGATAGTGGTAAAACTTCTATAATCAGCAAATAATTTCTTTAAACGTTTAATTAATTTTGGTGTCCTTTGTGAATTCCTTTCTATTTACAGATAACTTTGGACAACTTTCCATATTCAGCCAACATAAAAGCAGGAGTTAATCAGCCATTACTTGAAGCCAATGACATGTCTTAACGTACGATTAGCTCTCTTTAAAACTGTTTTTCTGAATCCTCCAAATATGTGGACCCAGGTAGCGTCACAGGGGTCGGTCTAAGTCTGAAGACTTTGAAGTCTCCAACTACAGACTGAAAACTGTTAAACATGTATGATGATGGTTTTCCATTATGAATCATATGTCTTAACAGAGTGATTCATCCATTCTTAAAGCCTTAGAGTCAACAGAGAGCTGAGTTTGTGCAGTTACAGCTTCAGACCTACAATGAAAAGGATAGCAAAAGTATAGAAACGCTGAAGAGAGCAGGAACTTGGGAAAGCAAACAAAATCAAACAACTATGACAGAGGAGTAAATGAAACAGGGCTGGACGGCAGCTTCCGTGGAGGCATGGTCATTTTCTCATCAAATCAAAGTGAGAAAAGTGCACTGAGATCACCGTTACCTCCAATCAAAGCTGAGTCACTGCTGATTGCATTGACTACTGGCTCGCCTGTACCTACGGTACCGAAATGATCTACGGCAGAAAGAAGAGACAGACAGAGCATCAGCATGATTCAAACACTCGTCATTCCGAGGACGTGGCTCATTGAATAGTACATCTCCAGCCCATGAAAAGGCAATAAAGCGCGAAAGTGGAAAAAGAGAGAAGAAAGATTATGCAAATTAAATTCTCTCTCATGCAGATTAATAAACTGATTGGCCACGTTTGAATCATTATGCTGCTAATTTAATTAGGGATGTGGATGTATTCAGTGAGCCATTGATAAAGTTTTCTCTCTTTTTTTTGTGAAATTAGACTTTGAGGAAGAAAAACAAGTGCAAAAGATATGAAACTCACCTTTGTGTGCTAAATTTCAAACAAGCGTTTTTGAAAGCAAGGGGCACTTCATGCAATTTGGAATAAGCTTAAGTAAGTAGGACTTAGAGAGAACTGAGAGAGTTTGGTGAAAATTTTACATTTCAAATTTACACAGTTTCCTCCTACATACCCCAAATGTAGATGATAAGCGATTACATGTTTGGTGTCTGGAGTTTATAGCTTTGCACTGGAGCTATGAAGCTAATGTAGCTAACAAGTGAAACTTGTTGGAAACTACCTCTGAAGTCATGCAGTCATTCTGTCATAGGTATCATTCCCATAGTTCGAACCTTGGGGCTAGGCTGGCTTTCTTTATAGCACTTCGTATGGGATTGGTTTTACATGAGGAGGTGGGGTAATGTGAATTTTATTGGCCTTTCTCAGTGATTTCAGTCCCATTTGAATGGACCATGTCAGGTGTTTTACTGACTGCTTCAGTAAAGATTCTGGTGCATTTACCTTCCACAAAACGAGCAGTAGAAGTAACTTATTATATTAGCCCCATGCGAATCGACATGTCAGTAAAATGATATATGCTGTGGAAAGGGAGTTTCTTAAGTATGGAGGCACTCAAAGAAGCTTTTACTTGTGTTCTCTGTGGCTAAAATCAAGCCGATATGTAACATTACTGTCCTATCTCAAGTGTGCAACTCAGAACATGTAAAAAATTGCAGAAAAAAAGATGTTGACTGTTTCCTATGAATTCCCAAGCTAATGGCGATGCAAATGACACACTGCATTCACTTAAAACTGCAACGTAAATGGTTAGGGTAAACACAATAATGGCTAAATTAAACATTTTGACTCTTTTCTGGAGTAAAAGCAGTGCGTAAATCGAGCAGCCACTCCCATCTCTGTCATTTTTATACTGAGATTTATTATCTTGTGCGAATTGCTCATAAACATTAGACGTCCTCTGGTAAACTGCCATTACCCCACCTACCCCACAGAAAACTAACCCTGCCCGAATAGGGCTTGTGACAGAAATAAATGGCATTGTGGAAAATCGCCACTGTTGCATCCTGTGGTAAACTGAAATGTTCCAAAGCTGATATGTTTTGCACGCCGTATGGACATTTTCCCTCCGAATGTCGCTAGATCCTCCGAATGTCAAGATCGTTTAGGAGCTAAAATATGACTAATGCTACATGCAACCTAACACTGCAGTGCACTGAATTGACAGCATAAGATGTGCTGCTTCACCAAAGTAGCCCACACAAAGCAGTAAGTTTTGTCAGGTGCAGGTAGTAAAGAGGCTTTGGCAGATTTAGGCTGCAGCTTGAGTTGCTGATGTTGGTGAATAATAGTGCTGAAGTTTAATAATAGACTCACTTTCATGTGACATAATTTCAATATGCAGCTTGTTTGTAACATATGTGTAGCATCATTTGTATTTCAAATGCTAAATGACCTTATAGTTCAGATGATCAAGTGAGACACTGCTAAAAACACAGGACAAAACGGTTTTGGGGCATTTTAGTTTACCATAGATGTGACAGTGGCAATTCAAAAAGGCCGCTCGTTTTTCCCATTGAGAAAACCAGCTTAGACTCAGAGTTTCTAATATGGGCATGACGCCGACTACAGAATGATGCACACTTAAGAGATCTGTCAGATCTATAATGCTAACTGCATGCCTGAATCATCACACACTTGCCTCAAACCATGTTATGGGTTGTTTCTGACGCTGAATGACAAAATGGCCACTTTGAGATGGCTGCTAATACTGTCTTTAGCTGTGCTACTAACTTTTGACCATTTCTTTTTGGATATTTATATTATTAATAGATATTAGATCACATAAGCAAGTCTACGCAAGATTTAGCATGGTTTGAGGTAAGTGATGCTAACTGGTTCAAGCTTCCCTTACTTGTTAGCTACATTAGCCTCGTAGCTCCTGTACTAAACTGATAAAGAAAACTTTGTTCACTAAACAAGATGGCTGTTTATATGCAGCGTATTTTAGTCCGTTTGTTTAACGTACAAATAAAAATGATTCATTTTTACATTTATCTCTAAGGTAGGGGAGAATATGTAAATTTTTGCTGAACTGCTGCTTTAAGTCAGAGTAAATGTGAGGGAAGTTTCTCTCTCTAACCTGTGTGAATTAGCCAGCCTTACCGGAGAGTGAGTGGGTGGTCTCTGCTGCGTAGGGGCTGGATGATGATGAGGAACCGCAGTTGGATTCCATCAGTGGACCTGTGACAATGACAGGACTGGTGTCTGGATATAGCAGCGCTGCCTTCAAAGGAGCTATGGAGTTAAACTGGACGACTGACAGGCAACCTGTGAAGCCCAGAGAATTCAGCCGGGCTATCTCTGGATCCATCTCGCCCAATTCTGCGCAGAGGGAGGGAGAGAGAGAGAGAGAGATAATAGATCAAACATCGAGAGCTGCTTGGGCTGCAAGATTTATCATTCACACTTAAAAAAGATGGTTCTTCAATGGTTCTTTAGTAAAGAAACCATTAACACTCAAAGAACCCTGTGCCTGATTTAAAGGGTTCTTTGCATTGTGTAAGCCTTCTTCGGATTGATGGAGAATATGCTGCCGATGGTTCTACACAGCACCTTTGTGAAAATGGTTCTATATAGCACCAAAAAGGGTGCTTCTATTGTTAAAAGCTTGAAATCGTAACCATAGTAGTTTTAAAAAGTTGCTATATAGAACCATCTACAGCACATTCTCCATTAATCTGAGGAACCCTTTCATGAACACTTTAATGCAAAAACTCATAGGGTTCTTTGAGAATTAATCTTTCTATATAGAACCATTTTCTTTACTAAAGAACCCTTGAAGAACCATCTTTTTAAGAGTGTTTTGGTAATGGTTATCACAACACTGGCAGGAAGGCTGCAATATGCAAATGAGCCCCTAACCAGTCCTTGTTTTTGTTGTGTGTGCTAGGAGCAAACTCACCAATCACAGATGGTTCTGTGGAAAACTAAATGATTTAAGGCCATTTTAAGATCCTGTGGGGCATTACAGCGCCCTGTCCCCACAAACCCACTGATAATGACCTTAGATCATTTGCTGAAAAGGTCTTGGTTTTAGTGAAGACTCATTCTATCGATTCTTCATAAAATATCGAACCTGAACCAGAGTTACTTCGGCTAATACCTTGTTCAGATCAGTCAGGTACCATAAAATGCCAAAATAAGATGCCAAAATGATCCAAAATGATGTTTTACCCACTGACTGTTGTGGTTTGTGAATAGATTTGAAGTAAACAGACTGTTTCAAAAAGTGTTATCAGATTACAATAAGAAGATCTGGCCATGATCAAGGCAGGGGTTCTCAACCTTTTTGCAACCCGAGGTCCATACAGACAACAACAAAAGCTTCTGCAGCCCACAAAAAAGATTTAACCCATCTAGGCTGGGATTCCTAAAAGCAAGATGAATCTTAAATGGTAGAGCGAACATCACACTGAACCCTCTCTCTGCCAGTTAGGATGATCTTAACATTAAAATGCTTTTGGGAGATGCTTTTTTCTTATGCACCTGTTCAGATAGCTGATGTTTGGCAGCTGCCAAGTGCTGGATATCAGGCTGAAGAACAGAAAGACGCAAAGATCTGGCAATTAAATGCGTTTAGATTCATACTTGAGACTATGTTTAGTCTGCAGGTGATGGCGTAAATAATTTGGCTTCAAAATCTCATTTAACAAGACTTGCCCTGTCTAGCATTGGAACCTTTTCCCTTTGAAAGACAGACCCTAATTTTACCCATTTATGCATGATGGATAAATTCTGCATGATCGAAAAATTTTACATTGACACGCACTGAAAATATGAACATAACTGGCTAGCATTCCGCCAGACTAATAATGAACTCAAACTGCCAATATGACCGCCTTGATCCCATGTGTCGAACACAAGGCCCGGTGGCCAGATCAGGCCCATAGCATCTTCTGTGTCTATTAATATTAGCCTGTTTCACAACACGCTGCACTACAATCCCCAGCAGGCACTACAACATAATGTGTAATGTAATCTATTGTAATGTGCATAATCTTGTGTACTGTAGCCTATATATATATATATACATATATATATATATATATATATATATATATATATATATTCATATTTTATTTTTGAATATTTCAAGTATTCATCATGTAATATTTCAACGTTCCCTAAGACTGCCTTTATTTTGATGGTGGTGTTTTGGCATATTTTGAATAAACAATGGCCAGCTCAGGTTATTATTTAACAGGCAAATAAAAACAGACATTCTCTGGCCCACGGATTTGTAGAGGTTTTTAATATGGCCCTTTTAGTGGTTGTTTGACACCTGTGACCTAGAAGTAAAGTCCTGGACATCCCTTAAGAGTAAAGGGACCCTTCATAAGAGAGACTAAATTGAAGCTGGTGGGGTCCAGTGTTATTTCCTTAACCAAAAATAAAAAAAAATTCTCACAAAATGAATGCCCTCACAATTGGTGACCATCTTCTTTTCTAAGCTTTCATCGTGCTCAACTGTAGATTCCTCTCCCTGAATAAACTGTAAATTTGCCCAGTTTGCGTTCCTAACATAACTGTACAATCTAGTGCACAGAGCTGCATAACTCCAGTTTAAAACTGGAGAAGCTAAAAGCTCAAGTGCATCTCAAGCTTTAAATATTTTTGACTTTGTCAGCAGCAGCCATGAACACAGATAAATAAATGCTGTTAGCAGCCACGACAAAAGCCAGCTAAAACGCTTCTGTTAGCAAAGAGTTTTCAATTTTACGCTGTTTGAAAACATGCCATGGGTAACGTTTACACCAGGCTATCTCATCATGCAATAGCACATTTTTGAGCAGCAACCAACATATGACCAGGCTTTTATGTAATTGTTCAGTACACTCAATTGCCATGTAGTTATTACGTTATCCAGCAATCCTGCCTGCTAATGTCTAAATCAATTTTTACTACCTAAATAATATATTTTAATAAATTAAATGAGAAAAGGTAGGCTAATAGTATTCATCTATTCATTTACACAGGTGACCTCATAGTTAGACTTTTTATCAGGGGACCCCCAAGACCCCTGCCACACTTCAAACCCTGCTCTTAACTTACTGCAGTTAAATTTGTAACCTAAATGGCAGCAGCTGGACCTCGAGCACAAGTCTTGACAGAGCATGAGCCATTTCTCCTGCGGCTTGTATGCGTTAGTGTTACTCATTTCAGCCTAGCCCTCATCACATGAACTGAAATAGCTCAGATTGTGTGACTAAACCGCTTTTGCCTCTGCTTCTCGCCCGAGAGCGTAAAGCTTTTAAAGCTACACACAGTGAATTTTAAAGCCATTTTGTGTAACTAGACTTTACTGTGTACGAATGTTTATTCTTGAAGGGTTCCTTTCAGGTGCCTCTAGGGCTAGAAAGAAGTTTCTCACCCCTTTATGCGCCATCAGCCGACATTTATTCCATATCTTACAAAAAAAACGATTGTATATAAAAAAAAGCAAATAGAGCTTTAAAACGTGTAGGTCGATGTTATGGACCACTGCCTCTGCATCTAGACTGCTGTTTATGAATCTGAATGGAGTAACCTCACCTTCAACTGTGTGTGTTTTTAGCTTTATAGCAAAGCCAGGGACTGGCACTTTGTTGTTTAAAAAGCATAAGATGTACTTCTAAAGCAAGCTTCAGGCTGGTGTCTGGGTTGCTAAAGGGGGGCGTTTGTTAGGGGTGCTGAAAATGTTATACAGTGTATACACTACATATCCAAATTATCCAGGCACACCCTCTAATAAGTGAACTCAGCTGCTTTAAGGTCACCCATTGCTAACACTGGTAGTCACACAGCTTGTATAATTCCCAAAGAAAAGCCTGAGGTCGCCATGCCCAATGACAAGCATTGGCTAAAGAGGTATAAAGCCCCTGCATTGAGCTGTGGAGCAGTGGAACTGCGTTCTCTAGAGTGATGGAGCTCCATCCAATACCTTTGCGATGCACAGGAGTGATCCAGAACTAATCATTCCACATCAATACCTGAGCTCACTAATGCTCTTGTGGCTGATTACAATCAAATCCTCACAGCAATGTTCCAACATTTAGTGTAAAGTCTTCCCAGAAGAGTAGGGGCTGTTACTGCAGCAAAAGGGGGACAATCACCCTATTATTTCAGCAACACTAAGTATACATGTCCACAAGCTTCTGGACATAGTGTTCAAATGTCCATGCCATGTCTATTTTTTCAAGTTAACTTAAAAGTTTGTAGAATTTTCATCAAACAGTAAATGTCTTGGGAAATAATGATTAGAGGACAATTGATATTAATAATGCAATAAAAGTAATCGATAATGAGGAAAGACAACAGTATATCTCTGGATAATCCACTGATATCAACTGCTGAGTTTTAACAGTGCATAACTGCATCAGCCAAAAATAAAAATGTGATTGGCTAATGCAGACTTTGAAAATATATAAATGAAACATGATAAACATTTTCATGCCCATTTTCCAACCTCTCTCTAGCCCTTGGATGGACATATGCAAATGATCTCTGTTATGATAGGCTGTCCTGCATTAAAAAAAGCAGTCCAGGCTGAAACACTCCTTATAACTTCAGTGTGAATGGGCAGAGCTAAACATCTGTAGTCTGCATAGGTGGATACATGCACATCACCGTTCAAGTCTGCAACCACTCTTTATCAATATGAAACTCACAGTTTTCTTACTCTACAACTTAATAATAATAATAATAATAATAATGGCAGCTCAAAGTGCTTTACAAACGGGTGGTAAAGCTTAACATTAATACAAGAAATTATGAGTACTAATTTAAAATCACATAAGAAAATGACACTACGAGACATAGAAGTGAGAAGTGAGCACTGAGCTTCATGGTCTAATAAAAGGTGGAATTGAGTTCCACAGTTTAGAAGCAGAATAACTGAACAAGGCCTCTCCATGTTTTCTGTATTTTACTGAAGGTTCAGCATCTGCAGATCTAAGATCACGTGCTGGAGCATCAACAGACATACACTTTGTGATGTAGGCAGGTGCTTTACGGTCATTTAGAGCCTTATAGTTTTTACTATGTCGGAATAATAAAACATAAAGACATGATATACAGAGCTGTAGATGATTTCATAATGATAATCATTTTCCAGACTCTCTTTATGCCTCTTTATTCAACAGGTCATTTTTGTTTTGTGATATGTGCTAATGTAAATGCCATGTAAATGATTTCTGTTCTAATTGGCTACCCTGTATTGTGCCCAGCGCGAACAGGCAAGGCTAAATTGTTTTAGGCTAAATAGCTGTATGTATGAAAATGCTTTAGATTCTGTGACATCACAAGAACTAATGCTGAAAAATGGCCTGTTTTTGTGTGTAGTT